GCTCGTTTGGACTTCACGCCGCGCCGCTTCCCGGCAACGGCGCGGCGCCCGTTGGAGCCCAACGGCCCTCACGTGCTGGCGCAGGTGACGTCAGTGCGGGCCAGGGCGGCGCAGGGCCCCTTCGCGGCGGCCCGTGACGCAGTTTGACAGTGCCGTTTCCCTTTTTTTTTGTTTATTGATTTTTTTTGAGCCAGCTCCTGTTTAAAATTCTGAGGGTGAACACCCTGTTGTTGCCTCGGGACCTCGCATAAACAAGTAACTTCCTTACGCGAAGACGGGCGTTCCTAAAATAAGCCGTCCTGTCAAAAACCTCTCTTAATGAGCCAGACAGAAGATGCCGTTTGCAGGAGAAGGCTTCTTGACTATTTTTTTTTTTCTCCAAGATTTCTGTGTCATGCAGTTGAGCAGCTTCAGACTTCAGTCTAGGAAGTAATTTTAGATAAAAGCCCTTCAGCCATTTTAAGCTGCCTTTGCCAGATTTTTACCAATATTAATTAGGGCATAATTGAGAGATAGTGCAAAGCGGAGATAATCAGCTTAGTATTCCCAATCAACACTGCTATGCCCTGAAAGGCAAAATAAAAAGTGCCTAAACTTTCGTAACTCTCCACTAGCTTTTTAACATCAGAGGTCCTGCTCCTTCACAAAGAGGTCACTGCCGAGGGCACAAATCACCCTTTCACTACAGGTTTTTACTTCAGTTCGGTGCAGTATCTTATTTCAGTTTGGGTTACTGGATATCACGAAAAGCACATCAGTCTGGGCCCATAATACATGCAATTTTTCCTCCTTCCTTTGAACTGAGAAGAACCTAAGCATCCACAATTTCTTGGTAGTTTGGGCTTCCCCACATCTGTCTTCCCAGGACAAATTGAAGTTAAATCCCTTTCTCATTACAGGCAAAAAAATCCTAATACTAAAGGCTCTGATTCGCAGTCCTTGTCTGATTTAACTGTGGTGGCTGAAGAGATGACCACAGCTAGCTGTCTGCCCATCTGCTGGAGGTTACTGTCCCTCCCACAAACAGCCAGCGTGCCAACTTCTCGGCCAGTGCCATTTACAGCTTGACATATTAAGGTAAACTGCCAGTGATTTTGGTTTACATTAATAAACTGTGTGTGAATAACATGAGGCTTTTTGATTTATGATTCCTGTTGCCTTTAGTTGTGGGAGTGGTAGACTTTTTTGCTCCTGCTGCTAAATCTGTCAAGAATCAGAGCCTTAAAGAGCTATCTGAATTTCCACATAATACATGTATAATCAGCAAATTACCCTGGTCACTCCTCTTTCATGTTCTTTGTAGCAAACTAAGTAAAGGACCTAGTAATTATAAAAAAAGAGAGGTAGTTGTGTCATGATTGATGACACACACAGTCATTCATTCGTGTTACCTGTATCAACGACACTTTCTATTCATTTTATTATTATTTAATATGCATGCTGCTGTCACCATCTGGGAGGTGGCAGTCCTTCAGTTAAGATTCTGGGCAGGGTCAGATCCTTGCCGGTTAAAGTGTTGTTGCAACATGGAGGGTGAGTCTGAAAACAGAACAATCCCTTGCTTCTTTTTCCCCAACAGCTTTTTGGAGATTCTGAATATTGCTAGAAATCTCTGCACCATAAAAGTGTGAAGAGTCCTGGGTTCACCATCTCAACAGTTACTGTTTTAGCCTTTCCTCCCAGTAATGCTGAACTGTTGTTATTTATTTGTATTATCCCAGCACCTCGGGCTGTGTTTACACTTACCTCTGGATCACAGCATGAGGCATGCCCAGGGTTCTCATCCCTGTGTTGTCCAAACTGGTTCTGAATGTTTTTCTGTCGGTGAAAACCAGGAGGAAGCTACGAATCGTATTTATCTAGATGTCATCTGTATAAAGGCTCACGATTTCCATACAGCACACATTTGGATGCAAAACCCTGAAAGTCTCCGAAGTTTTCTAGCCTCAACAGAGTTGGGAATACCCGTTGCACACCAGGATCCGTGTGAGATGACACAAGACTCTGTACAAACACAGATGGTCCCAAAGAGCTCACGCTCTGAGCTAACCTCACACCATACTGGTGAGAGCTGCACTTTAATATGTTGTCAACTTGGGACAATACTTGTGCACGCTTCATAATGCTTCACTAACTGGGTGAATGATTAGTGGAAGGGGTGGTAATAGGGGTTGTAAAATATATGACTGGGTTGTCTTGTGCCATTGCTGGCTCAAAATAATCACGGTATTGTTACGAGTTGGATTCAGCTGTATTGCATATGTATGTAACAATCACAAATACTCAGAATAAATGTAAAGAAGCTGTTAATCTTCCTTCTGTAATTATGTAACAGAAGCTACAGCAACACACAAAATGTGAGCGCCTGGAGAGGTTTGAGTGAAAACACTTGTAGCACTTCTCCCTTCTCCAAATCCCCTTGAGACTGACATTAAAAAAACAAGACAAAACAAAATATTCCTTGGTTTCAAACCGTGTTTATCTGGGTGTCCAGGAGAAAAATAAGAGACAAAAGCTGAAAGAAAAGGCAAGGATATGCCAGTCTTAGCCACAAAGAGCAGCATTGTGGCTTGATGACAAGCAAAGAGAGAAAGAAAAGACATGTAAATAGATGACAGGCCTGCAACAAAGATGATGTAACTTTACAATCAAGTTGTCCTGCTATAAGAGACAACACTAGCTAAGCACTTTTGTCAAGGAATAACAGCATTGTCTTGCCTGATGCAGCCAAGCACGGAGAGTGTGTTTCAGTCCTAGTAAAGCTGTGTTCTGCAGGGCTGAACTTATAATATGATTACATATTTTGTTTAACTGAGACTTCAAATACTCATGGAGCCAAATAAATGTAATGAAGTAGGTTATACCTAATTGCCATCAGGAAGACTGCCCCGGGTTTGTCAGAACACTGTCACTATGGGTGATACCATTTGAATCTTGATGCTGAACAAATAAAAGTGTCGGGCCCTACCAATGGTAACTACCATTATTAAAACTTTTAGGACACAGAGGTGGTGAAGGTGCCATAATTTGGAATGAGGCTGTCTCCCTCCTCACTGAAAGCTGGTTACTTGAGCTCACGTCATCTCACTGGAAGCCATCTTAGGGGATTTCTCTATATGGGAAGGGGATAGCAGTGGCAGAGGTACAGCAGGACAAGCCCATGCTGGAGGATCCAGTAGGAGAAGCAGGGCTAGTGATAGCATGACAAAAGCATCACTCCTAATATTGGTATGATCTGGCATTGCCTACCAGCAGTACTGTTGTGCTGTCACTGTTCTCTGGTTCAGCCTTGAGTCCAGGGATTTTGGGCTTTTGGACATCAGCCCTGGCAGCTGCAGCTGCATTGGCTTAAGAT